ATTCGTGTATCCCTTCCCAAGAGGTCCTAGATACGAATTCTAACCTCTCACTTCTCTCTTTATACCTTCTCCATTTGCTTATGGTGTTTGTAAGCCATTAGAGGAGTGACACTTGTGACTCTATGCATTCCAAAGTCAATACAAGGAGGAATTGGGATTGTTATTACTACATAACAATCAAGGTATGTTCTTAAACCTAATTACATGTTAATATGATTACTTGCATGCTAGAATTAGGGTTTATAGTCTTGGATTCAAAGCATGTACAATAGAGAAACCTAGATCCAAGCATTAGGGTTTGTATGAGCACATAGGATGTCTTATGACCAAAACCCATCATCTATATGTATATTTATATAAGAAATGTTTAAAAGACTTAGGAAGGCTATCCACCCTATTTCCTTTTCGCGCTTGAGATGTGGTCTGGTGGGATATCGGGTATTCGTCCGAAAGTCGTTTAAATATTAGTTATATATCATGTGTACATATATAGTCATAAAAGATCCTTCCAGTTCATCCCATGCCCTTGGGTAGCAAGGGTATACATCCATGTTCATACGTACCAGTTAGATTACTAGTAAACTACCATATGGGTAGTTTAGGATGATACTAGAACTATTACTAGAACGCGATACCATACAATGAGTCAGTTTATTCATGAGTCTATACTTGCTAGATAGAGAGCACGTACACTACAGCTAGAACATTACAGTACATTACTATACTTGCTAGATAGAGAGCACGTCCACTACAGCTAGAACATTACAGTACGTTACTATACATGCTAGATAGAGAGCACGTACACTACAGCTAGAACATTACAGTACATTACTATACTATTACATGATCACACTTACATAAGTACAATTACATGATCACACTTACATAAGTACAATTACATGATCACATCTATATGAGTACACTTACAAGAATTACTAGTACATTTTATATGTATAGATTCTGTTATATAATCCTCATTCTTATCTTTACCTTGTGATTCAATCACATAATCGACGAGATAGATTGGATTTAATATCCTAGTACCCAAGGATACATTACGGGACTGACCATTCCTAGAATCTCTGCTAGCTACAGAGGTAAAAGCACATTCACGGATGTCAACGGTTGATACCATTACATGTATACTTTTGGGGACTGACTATTCCTATACCTAGCTGTTAGCAACAGAGGTAAATGTACATCCACGGATGTCTTCAGTTAACATTGTTATTTACCCGAGTACCAACGGGAAATACCATTACAGTTAGGTCTTGGTAGAAGACTACATTCAGAACAGATAGATCTTGGTAGAAGACTACATTCAGAACAGTTAGGTCTTGGTAGAAGACTACATTCAGAACAGATAGGTCTTGGTAGAAGACTAAATTCAGAACAGTTAAGTCTTGGTAGAAGACTCCTTTTGTTACTAGTAGGAATCATAGGGATTTCTAGGGTTTTTCAAACGTTTACAGTTGTTTTACAAACATCTTGATACTTACAGTTCATATACAAATTCTTACATACAAATACTTACGTACAAATTAAGACACTAAATACTTATGATCTCACCAGCTTTAAAGCTGATACTCGCTTTCAAAATTACTTGTATCCTCAGGTCATCATAGCCAGGTATCGATGCAAGGAGAAAGGAAGATGGAGCTTGTTCAAGACTTATCTTTCATTTTGATTTATGCTTTAGTGTTTATCAAAATTTGACAGAACACATTTGTATAATAATTATATTATTAATGCAATGGATGATGTTGTTGCTTGTTTACTACTTTACATTGTTGTGATATTATACATGACGTCCTCCGCCCCAGAACGTTTCCGCCGTTCTTGGTTTTGGGGCGTGACAAAGGAGTAAGTGACCAACTCGGCGAGTCGGCTAAGGAGACTCGACGAGTCTGGTCTGAGCGAGGAAAACCCTAAATCTGGGACTTGGAGCCTATTTAAGCGTCTCATTCTCTTCCCTAGGGTTCCTTTACTTCCTCTCTAACCCAGAATACCGAACCCTAAGCCCCATTGTTACTCTTTCAAGCTTCCAAGCTTCCAAGCCATTTTTGGGTGATTTGAAGAAAGATGGAAGGGGGAAATCATTGAAGCTTCAAGGATTGGCCTTAGATCCAGAGTTTGTGGAACCTTTTAGAGTTATTGAAGGTACTAAGTCGTTTCCTTCATTTAGATCTATTCTAGTTTTGAGTTTTGGGGCTTTTAAGCCATGCTTTAGATATTCATATGAGTTAGAAGCCAGCTCTGAGGTTGCTACTTCAGATCTAAGCTCATTTTGGCCTGGTGAAGCATAAAGTAACTGTCCTTGAGTTGATTATAGAGTCTCCTTGCCTTAAACCCTAGTTTATGGTGTTTTTAGCCTAGATCTCCTTCTATACACGTAAAGTTTGCAACTTTACGTAAGGAATAGGCTTGGGAAGGGCAGATCTACAGTTTGGAGTCCATGCATGACTCAAAAGTCCTCTGCATGTATGAAGATCTGAATGGACTCGACGAGTCCTTTGAGTGGACTCGGCGAGCAGCATGAAGATTAGGAGGAACTCGACGAGTGGGATGAGCAACTCATCGAGTCGGATGAAGATTGTCTTGGACTCGACGAGTCTGTTCTTGGACTCGGAGAGTCAAGGTGCGAAACCCCAAAACCCTTCGAGTTGAGACTCGAATCAGTGAGTCGAGTGGAGACTCGGTGAGTTGGACAGGTCAAGACTCGGAAATCGGTAGACTCGGCGAGTCAAATCGCGAATGGAAGGACTCTGAGCATATGAACTCGACGAGTCAGTAGGCTGACTCGGCGAGTAGGGTTGACCAGGAAGGTTGACTTTGACCTAGACTTTGTCATTGACCAAAGTTGACTTAGTTGACTTTCAGGGGATAGTTAGACTAAGTGATGCATTGATATTGGTAGCTCGGGGAGCTAGTGGAGCAGGAGTTCAGAGAGTTGTCGGGCAGCAGCTAGAGGGGTTATCAGCAAGTTCAGCAAGTGCAGGTGAGTTTCCCTTTGTGTGAATGGGTCTAAGGTCACAATGCCAGCCCATGTAGTTATGAGTAGAAGACCTGGGGGTTAGCCCTAGGCACAGTATGCTAGTAAGATATTCAGGACGAAGTCCAATGATAGCGGGCGGGTACCCAAGGATTTGTTTATATGATAGTTTATACTTGTTGTCTGTGTGATACATGTATGTGCCTGGTAGGGAGGTGAATGTGGGCGAGGTCCCGTATCTCACCAATAGCAGAGTGTGAATGGTATTCTACATCTCATTAGTAGCAGAATAGGGGCGAGGCCCAAGTTAGGGAAGGAGTGAGAGTGGGTTGGTCCTGTATCTCACTATCAGTAGGAGCGTGGATGGGGTTCCATGACTCATCAGTAGCAGGACAAGGGTGAGGCCCAAGATAGGCGAGGCCTTTGGACAAGATCCATTAGTATATGTTTAGCTTATGTGTTGTGATATGTTTATGTGCTATTATATGTTCGTGGGCGAGGCCCTGTGACAGGCGAGGCCTAAATGAAACAGATCTGTATTCGAGCGGGGCTCGAAGCCAGGCGGGGCCTGGAGCGGCGGGGCCGTTGTAGTGGGCGAGGCCCGAGGCAGGGGGCGAGGCCCAGGATAGCGGGCGTGGCCCAGTATATGCAGTATATGGTTATGTGTGGTATGTGGTAGAGTGGGGAACTCACTAAGCTTCGTGCTTACGGTTTTCAGTTTTGGTTTCAGGTACTTCCGGTAGCGGAGGGAAGAGCTCGAGGTGATCGCATGGCACACACCATTGATTAGACAGCCTGGGAATGTTTTACTCTCATAACGAACACGTGTTTTGGAAATTAATACTATGTTTATGTTTTGGATTGATGATTTTGCTTTAAGTAATGTTTTATTAAAAGAAATTTTTAGTCTTGAATTTTGGATCGTTACATCTCAACTATTCGCTACTCGGTAGTCGTCCGAGCAAGTACCGAGTAGTGAGTTTTACAACCTTGGTGTCAATACTGTTTCACTCCTAACAATAAACCATTTTTGTGATATATATATATATATATATATATATATATATATATATATATATATATATATATATATATATATATATATATATATATATATATATATATTCTTTTTTTTTTAAGCATTTGTATTATAGATTGTTAAAAATATTCTTATGCTTATTAGGTTTTTATAAATTTATTTACGTCTTTTTTTTTTCTTAAAAACTTTATAAAATATATCACTACTAAATTATAAAAAAAATTCGTTGTGTACTATTAATTCAAATTACTTATTATATTATTAAAACAACATTTTTAAATAATAAAAAGCTATATTTAAAATAAAAATTAAAAAAAAAAAATTCTGTTTAGCCACAACATTTTTTTTGTTCTTCATTTGCTATTATTTTTTGGATTTTTTTTTCGTTTTTAGAATAAGGAAGAGGTGTTGAGGACAAGAGTCAAAACCAAACTTGTCTTTGAGAGTTTTAAACATTATACATTTTAAGAAGTCATGGTTTCGACTCTTAACTTCAACGTGAGGGCTAAAAAAAATTAGAAAGTAATGGCAAATGAAGTACAAAAAAAATATTGTTGCTAAACACAAATTGATGTGTAAATGTTGGGCTAAATGCAAACCAAGAAAAAACTTTATGTCAATAAAACCAACACATCACCATAACCTGTTGGTGACTAGCCAAACGCCCAAAAATCAAAAGTTTTCCAAAATATAACAGCATATGAGAAACAAAAACAAAAGTTGAGGTTCAAACATAACATGGTTGTATACATAATGGCTTTTGTGGCATAAACACTATACCTAATTATATCTAATAAACTAGAAATTAGTAGACATGAAACTTGAAATACTAAAAGTAACATATTAAACTTGGACACCATTTTGATGTAAAGAAATGTTATAACACCAAATTTGGTGTTATATTATTCCTTTACACCAACGAATTCAGTGTAAAAAAAAAGGAAGTTTGTGTTGGGTTGGAGACACTAATACGTCCATGGGAAACACATTCTAAAAATTATATATCTTCAAAAATATGTTACATTGAAGTTTGTATGAATTCATTAGTCCCAATACAATTACAAGCTTCTGCTTCATATATACCATATCAGCATAAGGCGATAGCAGCTGAGTGAATGTGTGAAATACATAGAAAAATAATTAAATGAGATGTTAATGTTAATGTTAATGTTAAGAAGAGTTGAAATCCTTGGTGTTGAAGTAAAGGTTGCTTTGTTTTTTAGAGAAACTTGTAACTGTAGACACATGAGAAAAGCCATTATACTTTCCATCTCTCTTTGCTATGCATATGTTCACCATATACTTGAGAAGATCATGCTTCTGCACAAAATCTTGATCTGCATATTCCTCAAAACCCATCCACTACACATAAAAAAAAAAATTGTCTATTTAATGTTTCAACAATAAAACAAAAAGTGAAACTCATTGTTTAAATATAACACCAAATTTGATGATAATGGGAATTTTTTTTTTTAAGGAAGCTAACCTGGGCTGACTCGATTTCTGATTCTTGTATCTGGATGTTGAAGGACAAAGGTTGCAACATACACATGAAGAATAAATCCGATTTGTCAAAGAATGATTTATGGCTTTGTCTGCAAAATCAACAACACCATAAAACCATCAATCAAGATTCAAGATTGTTTTTTTTTTTTTTTTTTTTTTTATATGACAAAGGAATGGAATTGACAAAGTAATGGAATAAACAATGTAATGGAATGAGTCATTACATTTGATGATGATCACCAGAATTTATATATTATATGTAGTTTTAACCTTTCTCTATACATTATTTAATAATAATTAATGATTTTTTTTTTAAACTGAAACATAATAAAATAACATTAAAACCCGGATAAGATAATAATAAAAATATATTTTCTGGTTAATTTTAGAAAAATAAACTGAATTTCATAGAACAATCATGGGGTTTTTTATACAGAAAAGTCTCATTATTTTGGGAATTTTTTTGATAAAGTCTTATATATATATATATATATATATATATATATATATATATATATATATATATATATTTGAACAGAAAGGTCCCGATTATTTAATTTTAAATGATAATCTGTCATTTCCTGTTAAAATAAAAATAAAGACTTTGTCGTTAATTTGGGCAAAATATCAAATAATCGGGACTTTTCTGTTCGAACAAAGTTTTTAGGAGTTTATCAAAAAAAATTCCCAAAATAATTGAACTTTTCTGCATAAAACCCAAAAATCATGAATTGTTTTTAAAGAGATTTGTGATACTAAAAATAGCTTATGTTCAAGAATGATCAAAGTCCATCAAACAAAAACAGTTTTTTTTTATTCATTTCAACGGAATCAGCCATTCCATTCGTTCCCTGATTCCCATCGTAGCAAAGTACCACCTCACAGTTTCAGATAATATGTGTAATACATGAACATTTTTTTTGTAAAACAAAAAAATTGTATTCAACCAGAAAAAATCTATTTATTGAATAACAAATTTGTTACCTAAATGCCAACACTTCCAGGAATTTGGTGTCAATCTGAAGAATAATAATAATAAGAATAAGAAAACATCAAAATGGAATTTTGTTTTCTTATTTAAAAGGAAAGAATGTTTGTTTAACAAAAAAATAAAAAATAAAAAAGATGTTAAGCAATTTCCAACTTACTCCAGTCTCCTCCTTAACCTCTCTAACCGCAGCATCACAAATATCTTCACCCTGTCCGTTCATATTTTATTTTATTTTCTTTCAAAAATCAAAATCAAAATATTGAATATTTTTCAATAAATAAAATTTCCATTTTAATTTACCTCATCAACAACTCCAGTAGGAAACTTCCATATGCCAGTTCCTCGGAATTTTCCACTCTTTTCTTTCACCACCAAAACCTAAACCACAAAAATCTTCATAAAATTCTATAATATACAGAAGCAATTTAGTAATACTAGAATGCTTTATTTCCTAAGTAATATATATAAATAAATACCTGTCCATTTTGATTCATAACAAAAGCCCCAATGCCCACTCTATGACTTGCATTAGCTGGCAATGTATTTGTTGTTTCAGGAATCCAATGCACAAGCATCAAGTGTTTTGGTTCCGCATGATGATAATAAAACCCTTCCTGCAACATGTTGAATATTTTGTGAAATTTGTGTTAAGGGTAAAATAGTCATTTAGTCTTGTTTTCATTAGGTATAGAAAAGAACCAAACCTTATGTATACAGCAGTTTATACATAAGTGTTGTCTGGATAAGTATTGTTTAAAAAGGATTGAAGGAGTAGATTTATAAAAAGAAAGCGTCTAAGAAGGTTGTAATGATATATGAATGTAAAGACAAACTCACTTTAACCACAGGTTCAATGAGATTTACAAGCCCGATTGGTAATTTGATCCAAATACCCCTTTTACCCTATACACAGAACAACACATATTTGTGTTAACTAACAGCAAAAACAAAGCTCAAGGCACATGCGTTCCCTAATATCATAGGGAAAGAAAGAAGGAAAAATGACCTGTTGTTTCCAATGCAGCATTGAAGCTTTAAGCAAAGAAGTAAACACAAGTGGATCGATGGGGTCTGTAGACATTTCCACGATAACACCTCCATGTTCATCCTCTTTGCCAGATAAAACCTTATTAACTAATACTTGATCCACCTGCAGTTTCTCCGACAATACGGGCGATGGAGACCAAGAGCTCCCTGATCCAGACATGGATCGTAAATTCAAATGCCTCTTCAATTCGCCTGTAAATCAACAACATTACATATGAAGCTAATTTTGAGAAAGTAGCGGATTTGGGTTCTTGGATCTACGGTACCTAAACAACAGACATTAACCACAAGTCACAACCAAAAAGCCCCAATCGGAAGTAGCAAGGTGATTATGGATTCGAGTTTGACAACTGGATTGACGAAGATGATACGATCAAAGTAGAAGTTGGTATTTCTAAGAGTTGGCAACTGGAAGTGAAGTGAGAAACTGACCTTGTTCCCATTTTAGGTTTGGCCTGAGACGTAAAAAGGAGCGATTTCCGGCGAATAAACATAGAATTGATGATGATGATGATGGTCTAGGAGGAAGAACAAGTCTGATTATCATATTCTATTTCTTCTCTCTTCTCTCTTCTCTCTTCTCTCTTCAACAACCGATGCGAATGCTCAGTGCTATATTTTCCGTACATGTGTACGTTTATGGCTAAAAAATAAAACTACACTATTTAAGTTTATCATAGTATGAGTATCCTTGGGTGTATATATATATATATATATATATATATATATATATATATATATATATATATATATATATATATATATATATATATATATGCCTGTTGGAAGTGATGTTTCGGGGAGAAAAGGGAAGGGTGGGTTGGGTGGGTTTGTAACAAAAGATAAAAGATATAAAAGATTATCAAGTAATGACAAAATAATCATTTGTATAGTTAGAGATCAAAACCAAAAACAAAATAAATCACATGCATAATTTGCAACAAACTTGAACCAAACCTAATAAAATGCCCAACATATGGACCTAACTTGTAATTTATTTTACTCTAAGACCATCTCCAACAAACAAAACACTGTCTATTAAACCAAAACCTATAATTATAATGTAAAACATAATGTTAACAATAAACATCTCCAATTCATATTATAGTTAACACTAAAAATGAATATTACAGGTATATTCCTATTTATTTAGTTTTTAAGTTTTAATATAACTACATAAATTATAGACAAAATTTCACAAATTGTCATGGTTTCCGAAAAGTGGCACTTTCAATATCTCTTTAGAAAGCGTTACACTGGTGGTCCTCTTGTGGTTTCAAAAACAAGGAAGGTTGGTCCTTTTAGCTAAGTCTGTTAAAAATAAAGATTAAATATATATATATATATATATATATATATATATATATATATATGAAATTATCTATTTACCTTTTTTTGTCTTATTGTTTTTGTAAGGACCATATGTATGCATCCTCCAAATAAAATCAAAACGCTATCCTCTCCCCCAAATTATCAATCTGTTTGGTATGATAAGTCAGTTGCACTCATAGTTTCGGTTTTGTTGATTTTGTTCATTCTATCTGTATGGGTTGCAATTTGAAACTAGGTTTTGTGAACCATTAAATAAAGCTCTAATATTAGCTGTCGGAAAAGATTTTGACATGGGTTTAGTCAAACCCTTCATGGATGATTTTGGGGATAATGATGATTTTAGGAATAAAAGAGTAACGATGATTCACCTAATGAAAACGACAATGAAATATTGATTTGTGGATTTAGGGCTAGTACTTGGAAGAATGAATTGATTTTGTTGTATGTAATAATATATCTGATAATTAGAATATAAGCATGTTACAAAGAAAATAAAAATAAAATTAAGATAAATTTATAGAAATGGTCCTTGTAATATATTGTATTTTTCAGATTTCATCTTAGGGGAAATTTGTCATTTTAGAAAAAAAATAATAATAATAATAACAAATTACAAGTCAGATTTGAGGACTAAGGGACTAACCATGCAATGTTTTGAAACTACAAGGACCACTGGTGTTGTGTTGTTGGTAGTTACTCTGAAAGTGATACCTTTTGGAAACCGCATCGTTAAATTTTGTCTAAATTATATTGTTAAAAATCTATAACCAAGATCAGCAAACTCTCGATACACGGTTAGGCCATATTTTAATGGATTTGGAGGATCCAGATATGATTTACCGGATTATTAGGTTACTACCATTGTAATAGTTATGTGGTTGTTTAAATTTCTAAGATTTTAATGTTTTTTTATAACGCCATTAGGATTGTAATATATATGTCATTTGTGTTTTTTTACACAATTATGTGTTTTATATAAATCTTGTATTGCATTTTAAATTATTAAACATAATAACATAGGTAACATTATTAAATATAAAACTATAATTATAGAAGAGATAGACTCAAAATTCATGGACTAATACGTATTACCGAAAATTTAACACTAAATATAGTGTTAAAGAATAGTATAACATATACCAAAACTGCATTTTACTTTAGAGTAGGATTTAGTGTAAAAATGGTTGTGTTTAGTGTTGGGCTAAAGATGCTATAATAACAATATACTTTCTTTTCAATTCATCCAATATTAATTAAAAGCATGCTTGTGATTCTCAGCTTTCATATTAGTGGTTTTATCTCAACTTCTGAATTTGTCCGGTACCTCTTTCTACATTTTGTATGTCATTTTATCTGTATATATATATTTTTTTTTCCAAAAAAAAAAAAAAAAAAAAAAAAAATAGCGAGAATGGGATCTCTTGAAAGAGGAAGAAAGATTTGGAGGAAAAAGTAGAATAACATAAATTAGAGTTGCCACCAACACCATTGATCCCCAATTTCATATTTCTCAATCGACTGCTTGTCTTCACCACAACTACCAACTCAACTGACAGAGGATCTGACCTACTTGAAAGAATAGGTGGAATGGAACACTACTCTTCATACATACAAGATACATCATATACCTTCAAGTAAGCCTTAATTAATTGCCAAAAAGATTTAACACATCAATTCAAAATTAAATTATACTAGCTACAGCAAGAAATAGTATATATCAACACCTACTCTCGATCCAACTGGAAGATGAAGAAGACGCAACACAGACTTTCTCAAAAACCCAACACATGCAGTCAAGAAGACTTTTATTCGTTTCTCTAAACTCCTTTTGCCCTACTAACTCTCTAAAATTAACTAGCCGTTAGTTCCAGACTTTCTCTAAAAATTACTTCCAAATTTGAAGAATTATTCACCGATTTTCTAATATAATATATCAACTGCTTGAGTAGTAGATTTATGATTTCATGGAGTTAATTGGTGGCTTAATTTCTAGGCCACCTATATATATAATTCTTAAAATTATTATCTAAACAACCCAACGTGCTCCAACACATCCAAGAGAAATTGAATCATAAATTAATTCGAGAGAGATGAAATTATTACCTTAATTTTTGAAGCTTAATCCCTGGCCTTCGATTCAATTCGTCTCCTGTTTCTGTTCCTAACTTGAAGATGAAATGAACTTAATTAGGGTTTCTTTCACGCCAATTATACTACGCTTTTCAGGTAGTAGGTACGAATTTATTAAATGCAACTACAAATGAAATTGCATAAAACGAATAATAAAAGGAAAATGATATTCTCATTTATGTTTTTTTATTCTCATCTACTTATTTCATTTTTATATAAAATGAAGAGAAACAACTATAGCTAGATATACAAAATCTTTTATAGACACATGCACCGAGAAAGAGAATCTGTTATAGTGGTGCTATGCTATTCTTGGATAAACCTTCAGTGGATATTGTCATATTTCTGTTTGAAGGCTTTAGTTCAAAGCAGGGGTGGAACACGAAAAGTTATAGTGAGGGGCCAAAAGTAAAACTTGTGAAGAAACAATAAAAACAAACGTACTTAATTCATAGTCATACCATATAAAAAATCAAACAAAAAAATTAATATAAAGTATTCTAATATCGATCGTTAAAGTGGAATTCGACGATCTTTTACGTTTTTAAAGTCTTGTACAATTGTCTCTAAAGTAATCTTTTCTACAAACTCCCTTTCGAAGTACAAAATCAATGATTCGTTTAAAAATTCATCTTCCTTTTTATTTTGTAGCCTTGTTTTAACAAGATTCATTGCTGAAAATGATCTCTCTGTTGTAGCAGTGGAAACAGCAATGGAAACTGGAAGGGTGAGTATAAGACTAACTACTCGATAAATCAAGTAAAAATTGGTTGCTCTTCTAGTCTTTATCGACGATTGATATAATTCTGAAATAGATATCAATTGTTTATAATCTTCACGTTGAATGACATTCGCCTCGTAACGTTGGAGTTGCATCTTCAAAAGATTTTTCTCAGTTTCATTGAAATCTTCAGGATAAAACTTTTCTACTAGTTGACATACATCACCACTTCGAAAAGGCTCATTAGAATTTTTAGGATCTAAAGTTGATGAAAGATGGAGCAATTCCATCGAGCTATCATTGAACCGATGATCTAATTCCATTAACTGACAATTAATTGCTTCGATGAAAATATCCACTCGATAATGATGTTTGTGACAACCTAAAATTTTCTATTGCTTTGAATGCTCAGTCAGTCAACCCAAATTAGTGTCAGACTTATTCCTGCTATCATTTGACACCATTTAAAGTCTGTTCAAGCATTCTGAGCCCAATACACTTAAGGAATAAGTGTTGGGGTTTATCTGTCGAAGCTATAGTACCACGAACAGGCCTAAATCACATTGACCTAGAGTTCACGGCCACCACATGGGAGTTTATGGCCGTAAACTCCATGTGGGCCGTAAACTCCACTATATAAGGAGAAATGTGGCCATTTGTTCATTCCCTCATTTCCTTTAGGCTCAAATCCTCTCAACTATCATCCCGTTCCTCGTCCCCGATCTTCAAAACTCGTAAGTTCCTTGTCCCAACTAGTTGATATACTACTTAAACTAGTGATCTTACATGTTTTCATCCATGAAATTCATGTTTTCATAGATCTTTAAGTTTCACCAAGAACACACTAGTGTTTTTGACCAAAAAACGACCATTCAAGCCCCGAGATCGTAAGTACTCTTATCTTAACTCATTGTACAATAGGTTTAACATGTTTAGGGCTTAGAAAACATCAAGAAACAAGGATGAATGACAGTTTACGGCCAAGGGATGTTCTTGGGCCGTAAACTCCCTTTTAGGGTGCAAAGTTGCCCTTTCTTCCTTCCTTATGCCCAGAACATAACCTAGAACCAACCACCATTGAAGTAGGGACCTTAAACATCAAGGAAACCATGTCCTCATAGAGTTTACGATCGTAAACCTGTAGCACCTGGTTCCTGGTACGTAAAATTTATCTAAGTATTTTTCATTTTTAGCCTTGGAATCGGCGAGTTGTAGGTCCGACTCGCCGAGTAGGGACGGGGTCCGGGGGGACGTTTAAGTTGGCGACTCGGCGAGTCCATATTCTGGACTCGACGACTCCCCGCTGTTTGATGAAACCCTAAATTTCAAGGGTTTGCACCCTATTTAAACCCTCATTTCCGCCGCAAGCTCTCCCCCATTCACCCTCAAAGCTCCCATCATCGTTTATACCCTTATTCCTTGTGAGATTGAAGTGTTTTGGTGTGTTCTTGAAGATTTTGAGGAGAAAGAAGAGTAGATCAAGAAGAGGAGAAGGATGTCAGGCATCTTTGTGTCATCTCAACGTTTTCCTTGAGGTATAGCTCGTTTCCCCTCTGTTTTCAAGCTTGTAGTCTCTATTAGCTTCATGAAAGTCCTTCTTGAGCCATTCCCCCAAGCTTGTTTGTGCATTGTGGGTTGTAATAAGTTGTTACCCTCTAGATCTAGGCATGATTTAGTCCCTGGAGCTTGAACTTACTGCCTTTATGGAGTCATATTGCATGAAAGCCCTAGATCTACCCCTTTTGGTGCACTTTGAACCCTAAAACCTTCATTGGTGATTATCTACTCGTAAAGTTGGAAACTTTACGTGTAATCCATGCCCTAGAAACCCAGATCTGTGAATGGCATGAGTTGGATTCAATAAAAATCGAGTGTATAGTAATTGCATGTGGCCGACTCGGCAAGTCGAGTCACGAGTCCCCGAGTTTCCCCTTTTTCGCATTGGCGGGTTGGGAGTAATGAGTCATTGGGTGTGACTCAGTGGATCGGAAGCTAGACTCACTCATGAATTCACTCGGCGAGTCAATGCCATGACTCGGCGAGTTCATGGCAATCTTCTTGTCTCAAGAACAACTCGGCGAGTTGTTCATACAACTCGGCGAGTCACATCTTAGAGTGTTCTTCGGATGAAGGTGAACTCGGCGAGTTGTTCATACAACTCGGCGAGTAGGATGAAGGACTTTTGGCCTTGGGTATAGAGAAAGGGATTCGGCGAGTTGGCAAGCCAAGTCGGCGAGTCTTGTCAACTGGCAGTTGACTGTGACTTGACTCATGACTTGTTAAGGGTAAATGGATAATTTACCCTGAAGGCGGTTAGCAGTATTTGACTAAGTGTTGGTGGGAATTGCAGCCAGAGGATTTCCGGAGCAGCAGCAGCAGACAGACCGTTCCCACACAGATCAGCAGCTACGAGGTGAGTTACCTTCCAATAGCGGTGGGTCTAAGGCCACAATGCCAGCCCACCAGTAGGAGATGTATGATAGATGATTGTCTTTGTGATATCATCTAGGTTTGCTACTACCTGATATGTTATATGCTAGCATGATATGTTATATGTGATAGTAGTAGAGTTCGGTTGTTAGGACCGAAGGGTAGTCAGATACCCCAGATACGTCTGACAGTATATGATGATATGTTTTCATGCTGGCTTGTTACGATATATGCGATAGAGGTAGTAGGAGGGGAATAGTCCCCGAGTTCGGTTGTTAGGACCGAAGGGTAGTTCAGGCACCCCAGATATGTCTGATATTATGTTTGTGTTATGATATATATGATAGTAGTAGTAGGGGGTGAAATAGTCCCCGAGGTTCAGTTGTTAGGACCGAAGGGTAGTCAGCACCCCAGAATAGCTCGACATGGGTAGTCAGCACCCCAGAATGGCTTGACACGGGTAGGTCGGCACCTCAGAATGGTCGTACCGGGTAGGTTAGGCACCCCAAAAATGCCTGGCAATATGTATGATATGTGATTGTATGGTATGTGGTATGATGGGGGAACTCACTAAGCTTCGTGCTTACAGTTTTCAATTTTGATTTCAGGATCCTCTTCTTCGAAGGGGAAGGAGCTGGCGCGGTAGCGGTACATCACACACATGCTTATATTCCGCATTACGATATCACCTGGGGATTTGTACTCTGACACGTTTCTGTTTTTATAACAATGTTTCTAGACATGCAATATCTTTTTTGGAATGATATGATGGTTGAACGTTTTATTCCTAATGTTTTGGCTAAGCACACGTTTTAAAAGTGAAATTTTTGGCTCGTATTTTTGGGGTGTTACAAGTGTTGGATAAGGTGTCTAAGTCCATAACTTATTTGGTATATACTTGACCCGACCCGGCATGGTCCATTTGGGTTGCATCTCATCCAAACTATTTATGGATAATTTTATGAGAGTTATACACATATGTTTATTAATATATTATAAGTTATAATATATTAATATGAGATTATGTTATTTAATTAGTTTTAGTCTTAAATTAATTATGAATTAATTTAGAGATTAAAAGGAAGACTAATTAGATTATGGGCTATTGGTTTTATATAGTGTGGGCTAACACTCATTTGTTAATGGGCTAGGCTTGTATGGAAGTCCATGGATGATCCATGGAGCTTTTAACCCATGGATCCTTGGAAAAGGAAAGGTCATGGGTTATTAGGGTTTCACCCTAACCATGCACACTATATAAGCATGCTTATGGAGCATGAAATGGTGCCTAAGTGTAACTAGTGAACTAGTGTGTGTGAGCTTGTGTGTGGCCGAAATATACAAGTGTATACACTCTCTCAAAGTTTTCCAAGAGTTTGTGGTGTTTTGTGATTCCATTTGAGGCATTCACACTATTGGTGCTTGGCTCTCAAACTCCTCAAGAACCAAACTCATCAAAAAGGTATGTAATCTCTTCTAACTCTTTATGTTGAAATGTTCCCCATGCCATGTTAGATAGGTTATAAACCTTGGAAAAATTATTATTTTGCATGTATTTATACAAACATAGATCCAAGGTTTATTAGGGTTGCATGCACACTTAGGAAGTGTTAGATTGCTCAAAACCCAACAGTGGTATCAGAGCCTAGGCTTGCTTGTTTGAATACTTGATGCAAATTGCTGAAAATCGAAGATTTTATGATGTCTGCACAGCTGACTCGCCGAGTCCATGAATGGACTCGACGAGTCCAAGGCAAAACTCATCCAACTCGGCGAGTTGGTTCATGCACTCGACGAGTTGGACCCCCAGACAGCATATCTTCGAGTTTTGGTGCTGGAATTGGTCTAGAATCATTACCTTAAACTGTTTTGGACTCATAAAACCTATTTTTGATGTGGTAATGATGATGGTGGACCAATTTCAAAGTTATAATCAAAATTTCAATTTTATATGTGTTCATATGATTCTTGAAATTGTTGATGTGAATGTTCATGTTCATATGAGTTTTGTTAGATCATAGGAATTATTTGCAAATTGTTTGTTAGTTAATTCTTGATCTTAATGTGTTTTAATGGAATTCTTAATTTGTCCTCAAGTTATGGAATTCCAAGAGGTTTTCTTTTAAATATTTTTTAAGAAGTTGTAGGTTACATTTTCTTGAAGAGTTTTTCCCATAAATGTTTTATGGACTTCATAACTTGTCCTCAAGTTATGGATTTCCAAGAGACTCTTCATTAAAAG